CACGTTGGTATCCAAACGGTGCAATACCTTATTTCTCAACAGTTCTGGATCATATGTTTCAAACGTTCAGTTCGTCACATTATTTCTAAATGCGTCAGATGCTTCCGCACTCACCCGGTAGCTCCTCAACCCCCTATGGGTGATCTACCTGCTCCCCGTATCTCTCGCCTAAAACCCTTCTTACACACAGGAGTTGACTACGCAGGTCCTTTCACTACTGTAACGCACAGGATGCGTGGTTCAAAAGTTTTCGTCAAAACTTATCTTTGCCTATTCATTTGCTTTGCCACTAAGGCAATCCATGTCGAACTAGTATCTGACTTAACATCTGATGCTTTTCTTGCTGCTCTACGTCGCTTTCTCGCTAGAAGAGGGCATTGTCAAGTGATATACAGCGACGGCGCGACTAACTTTCGTGGGGCATATCGCCAATTAAATAGTTTTTTGTCTGATGCCACGTCTCACGAGGCTATCTCGTTCAAACGAATACCTAGTGCCGCTCCTAATTTCGGAGGGCTATGGGAAGCAGGCATTAAGTCTGTCAAGTCTCACCTTGTCAGAGTAGTTGGGAATCAAGTACTCACTTATGAACAATTAGAAACAGTTGTCATTCAAATTGAAGCACTTCTGAATTCGCGCCCACTGACTCCTTTTAGCAGCGATCCAAACGATTTCAGTGCGTTAACGCCAGGTCACTTTCTCACAATGGAACCATTGATGGCTCCACCTGAACCTGACTTGAAATTCATTCCCATAAACCGCCTTTCACGCTGGCAACTTCTCACCCGCATGCACCAAGATTTTTGGACTCGGTGGTCTAATGAATATCTCAACACCTTACAACAAAAAACAAAATGGCTCAATGGTCCCTCTGATCCCATTACGAAAGGATCGTTGGTAATTATCAAAACTGAAAATATTCCTCCTCTAAAGTGGAATTTGGGGCGTATCATTGAGACATTTCCTGGTCCAGACGGACATGTGAGAGTTGCTACTGTGAAAACGGCAAATGGCAACATTTTAAAGAGACCTGTTTCTAAACTGTGTCCTCTACCTCTGGAATCAAATCCAGATACCTAAAATCATAAAATTCTTCGCATTTTAGGTGGGCGGTAATGTTCCGTCCATCTCCTTTGTTATGTCCTTTTATGTAAACTTAAAATAATAATGAATTTCTATGCATTATCTGCTATCCGTGTTTGGCTCACTGTATATCTCAAAATTGAATTCGCGCATCAGGTCTTTAAGGTTTTACATGCAGCGCCTCCAAGTGGCCACCGCGGATAAAAGATCAGAACTTTTCGTACATCGAATACGACATTTTCAATTCGATCGCCTTGGATCTTTCCAAGTAAAATTTTCTCAACAATAACAAAATATCCGTCCTCCAGACGTTAATGGAACCTTAAGTGTTCAATTAAGGATTAGTTGTCTCTCGTGACGCGAGTTGGACCAGATAGTTCCTGAGGGAAGACCATTCATCCCATACGTCCAGTTCAGAGTGCCGGCCGGCTCGTCACCACCCATAATTCCACGAAATACCATAAGGTAAGATCTTAAAGACCACGCTCAATTTGCCTCCAGTCCATTTTTTTCTCTCCTGAGACTTTACGGGTAAGGGATTCAACCCCTTGACATAACAGGAGCATTTACCTTTCATGCACAGGATAGCCAGGCCAGAGGAGACTATTTGGCTATCTCAATTTCAGCAAAAAAAGTTAATCAATTGATTACTTTTTTGTGAGCTCACCTTCAAGTTTCTGATCGAGCGCGAAACACATGAACGACTGGATGGTTATCTCCCAGGTAGCCACACTGACGAAAATGACGTCTATAGGACCGCTAATTTTGGTCATTTATGGTTCCATTCGTCACTTGTCCAAATCATGACGTCAAAATGACATCGTCTTCCCAACGTCACATAGACAGCAACTTCTGGGCGTCTTACGGATGTCAATATCTGGTCTTCACACATTTACCGAAACAATTTCCGGAAATCTAATCATATTGATGATGTCGTCAACGTCGTATGTACTGGCATAGGGAATCGTATTTTAATTCTGTGTGAATGTGGATCTTCAAAAAGTTCGTCGTAGGAATGGTGGAGGAGCTAAGTTCCTCTTTTATTTATTTTTTTCTGAAGTGGAATTTGATCTTGAGAAAAAAGAAAAAATACGTATACAAGGTGTTTCTAAAATAGGTGGTCAAACTTTGGGAGCATATAGAGTGGGTGAAATAGTTACGAAAACCTCCGTAACATTTTTTTCTGAAGTGACCCCCAAGAAAGATACAGCCCCTCAAAGGGGGGCCTCAGTGAATGATTTTGAATTAGTATCTCCAACACCTTGTGTAATGAAAATCTGAAATTTTGTCCATCCACTTACTATTCAGTGCCGGTTCGAATGAAGTTAAAATCACCTCTGAATTTTTACCTACTTCTAATCGTCTGATCAACTTGGAATCTGGCAGATGACAGTTGATAACGCGTTATGGACTTTTTGATAGAAAAAAATATGGCGGCTCCAATGTGGCTGACCAGATTAGTGATTATGGTCCGATCCGATTCAAAATTGGTTTGTAAGGGTTTTTGGGGTTGGAAATTTTGAATTCGTTGTCGGAATTCATGAATTGAAAATAGACGACGATTTTCGTGATTATGGATGATCCTATTGAAAATAAAATAAAAAATATTGTAAAAAACAAGCTTTTATTAATTCAACTATTGAAATACAAAATCGAAGATGAAATAAGGTGAATGCTCTAAAAATGAGAAAAAAATGCTTCTAGATATCTTCTTCCACTTCCTGGAGCATTTGAATGGAAGCATTATTATCACTGATTTTTTTTCTACCTTATTTTATTACATTTTCATACAACATAACTCCAACGAAATGGAACGTAGAATTTAACACTGAGTTAGAGAGCATAGCAGGAATGTAAGAGAGGGATGATGAAGTTTTCGATTAGTAAGATTCTGGAGAGAGGCAAGTTGTATCACGATGAAATAGTGAGAGATCCGCAACATTTCTTCAGCGTAATAAGAATTCTCTAATGACTTGATGCTTAATTATCATTTCACTCCTCAAAGTGTCCTCCATTTACTTCTATGCACTGACGCAGTCTTTTTTCAAGAGAAAATAATATGCGGTTAAGCCTTCCCTCATATCTACGTACTCAGAAAATGTATAGTTTGGCATGTTTGACGATTTGAAAACAATGCTAACGAAATTCCAACTGATTTTGACAATTCTCAAAACTGACAATAAAATGTCAACTGATAATCTAGTGGTTCTATTTGTATTCTCCGAGGTATTCTCTGTTCCCATATTTTTACTTCTCATCGGAGAATGTGAAAATCAATTTTATTCGGAAATGGTTCATTTTATCGACATTCAACGAGAGCATACCATTTTTATGTAAATAGCCCTGAAATTTCATAATTTCATGTCAAACGACTGAAGTTATGGAATTATGTCGTGAACAAAGACTGTATCAAAGCATAAAAATTAATGGAGGACACTTTGAGGAGTGAAATGATGATTGAGCATCACGTCATTAGAGAATTCTTACAACGCTGAAGTAATGTTGCGGATCACTCACTATTTCACTCGCTATTTCATCGTCATAGAGCTTGAATCTTATAGAAAACTTAATCATCTCTGTCATATTCCTGCTGTGCTCTCTAACGCTCTCTAACTCAGGGTTAAATTCTACGTTTCATTTCGTTGGGGTTATGTTGAACTGAAATGTAATAAAATAAGGTAAAAAAATCAGTGACAATAATGTTTCTATCCAGATGCTTCAGGAAGTGGAAGAAGATTTCTTCAGATATGTAAGCTATCGAATACCTTACTCACAGAATAACTTACGTGAGATATCAAAAGCATTTTTCTCGTCATTTTCAGAGCATTTGAAAAAAGGCTTGTCTTTTTTCACCTTATTTCATCTTTAATTTTTTATTTCAATAGTTAAAGTAATGAAAGCTTGTTTTCATCAATATTTTTTATTCTATTTTTAATAGGATCAGTCCATAATAACAAAACTCGTCGGCTATTTTGATTTCACGAATTCCGACAACGAATTATAAATTTCCAACCCCAAAAACCCTCACATACCAATTTTGAATCGAATCGAACCATAATCACAAATCTGGTCAGCCACATTGGAGCCGCCATAACGCATTGTCAACTGTCATCTGCCAGATTCTGAGTTGATCAGACGATCAGAAATAGGTAAAAATTCAGTTGCGAGATTTGAACTAGATAATTAAACTTGAGCGCACACCAAAATTGCAATTTAAATGAAATCTTGGAAAAATAAATTTTATTCGCTAATGGTTCATTTTATCGAGATTCAACAAGAGCTCCTTTTCTATGTTAATAGCCCTGAGATTTCATAATTTCATGTAAAAAAACTGAAATTGTGATGAACAAAAAAGTTGGGGTTATTTTTACCCCCTACCTCCTTATTTTGACACACCCCTGTATTTAATTTTGAGGTGATTTTAACTTCATTCGAACCGGCACTGAATAGTAAGTGGATGGACAAAATTTCAGATTTTCATTACACAAGGTGTTGGAGATACTAATTCAAAATCATTCACTGAGGCCCCCCTTTGAGGGGCTGTATCTTTCTTGGGGGTCACTTCAGAAAAAAATGTTACGGAGGTTCTCGTAACCATTTCACCCACTCTATATGCTCCCAAAGTTTGACCACCTATTTTAGAAACACCTTGTATATCAATTTTTTACAAACTTCACAGTGAGATAAGAACCACAATATAGAAAACTTCCCCATTATTTTACTCGCGTCGTAGCATACCATATTGTATTTCCACCATGAATAATAGCATGTTCTAAAGTATGACCACTGTTCCTCGCGTACTAGTTGGCCTACTAGGTGGCCTACCAGGTTTCCATTTAGATCGAAAATGGCATGACAGTAAAGACACACACTTAATGATTTTCGCGAACATTGAGTTATTTTTTCACATATTTTACCTGCACAGAGGTCATGGGAGGCTGGTCAGTTTCCGGCATCGGACAATTCCATCTGGCTGGCCTGCCGAAATCTATGAGAGCGTTCTTCTTGAGGTAGCTGGTGTGGAAGGACACCTCTTTCCTCTGGTTGAGGGGCCCCACGGCCCAAATGATGGCTTGCGAGCGATTGGTCAAGATGGGCCTGTCGTATTGGTCGGATGCTCTCAGAGGGCGCTGGTAGGTTACAATAGAGTAACCATTGACGGTGGCGGCATTCAGGAGACGAATGGTGTTGGTATCACTCTAAAAAAAATCAAATCCGTATTCGTGTAATCTGTCAGTAGGCAAAAACATCTTGTGGTATTGTTGCTGTGCTATTTCTTTTTTCGATCTTGAGCCACTAGATCAAGCATGGGCAACCTAACGGCCGCGTCGACCAGAAATTGTTCGGCCCACCAATGAATTTCGCTTTTCTTTTAGGAAGGTCGGAAAATGACATCGGACGTTGCAGCGGACGCAACTAGATTTTCGAACATTCAATCATTCTCAGAGGGCGAATTTGTGAAAGATATGACAGAAAATATAAGAATCACTCTTGGCGAAGTTGTGAACAAATGTGTTGCATTTTCCATAGCATTGGACGAAAGTAAGGATCTTTCTGATACAGCGCAACCAACAATTTTCATTCGTGCAGCCGACAAAATACCTACAATAACAGAAAATTTGTTCGCGTTTCAATAGCTATGAAAAGTCCTATGTACGAGAGTGGAAGACATTTTTGAAGAAATTGTTCATGTTTTTTATGGTTTCGATGTGCATAGGGCAGAGTTTTTATAAAATCAAACCGCCAGTTTCTACAATTTTTACAGGGCTTGGACATGGTTCGCTACGGAATATGAAGACATCATTTTTCATTGTGAAGTTTGCTGGCTCAGTAAGGGCAATATGTTGAAATGATATTAAGATATAAGAGAAGAAGTGTAAACTATCATGGATATCAAGGTCAAACCCAAACTAGTCCTATTTTTGAGAGATGATTGTTAGCTGTTTTGCATATTTAGTTGATGTCACCAATCACTTGAACGAGTTGAATACGAGTATGCAGAAAAATGGACAATTTTTCCATGTGCTATTCACCCATGTAAAATCTTCACAAAGCAAATCTCGCTTTTTGGAAAATCAGGAAAATTGAAATTAGGATTGTTTTTGCCCCGGCCAGAGGTACTAGGATTTTTTCTATTTGGCCCCCTACACAAAAATGTTGCCCATCATGCCTGCACTAGACGACATACATGACAAGATCTCTTTAGAGCTCCCACTGTGTGTAGCTAAGTCTACTATTTTCAGCAGATCGAGTGTGACTGAAGAGTCCTGATAGGTCGAAACAGTATTGGCTCGCTCTTTTTGGGGTGATACTGATGAAGTGGAAACAAATTACAGCAAGCGAAGTGAAAGAAGGCTACCGTATAACGTTTCTTGTTCTATGGCCTATGTGGCATACATTAAACACCATTATCTAGAAAATGGTTTTCTCAGGTTATGTGTTGCTCTCGGAATTCTATATTACCTTCGTCATTTTCAATAGCCCGTAGAAAAGAGCTCTGCCAAATTGAAACTCATTGAAACTTACTTACAATATGCCATGAAAGACAGGTATTTCTACGATTTCTAACGGAAACGAATGAAGTAAGCCAGATCGACCTCAAAAACCTAGTAAGATAGTTTGGAAATACGAACGCAAGAGGAGCACCATTTGAAACCTTATTATTGATTTTTAGCTTAGTTCTAGTGAAATAATTTCTTTATGGAAAATATCCACATGTTGGTAAGTATATTGTTTTTTATAGTTCTGCAATTGAAACACTATTTTTCCATTCATCTCTATTCTTCATTGAGTCTTGATTTCAAATGTCACAGCAATAAATGAAGCCTTGACACTTATGTAAAAACTTGAATGACATTTTGACTAATTTTCAATAGGTGTAATTAGACGGGAGATTATAGAGATCAGAACTTTCCTTCCATGTCATGTTCAGCTAAAACGAATTGAACAATGGGAATCATGGGGTGAAAATAATTATGGAGAGGGATAGGGAGCGCCAGAATATTTCTTGCCTCAGGTGACCAAATACCTAGGGCCTAGCTGAATCATTCATTCGAAAGGAATTCAAATGCATGAAATATGGTGCATGCGCATTTCCATACTCAAATTTTCAAGGCCTACTTCTGCTTGTTGAGAAGTTCAAAATTTCAAAAAGACTATGAGGCAATTTTTTCCGAAACGGTGATTGGCCTAATCGATTTAGGCATAGCTGAAATACGTTCTCATACCGAATTTGAACGCGATATCTCTATAAAGGGTGTTAGTCAAATAATAGAAAATTTGGATACTTTTCATTTTTTCTTCCATCCTGCATCGACATCTGATAGTTTCATCGTTGTAAGTTCTATAGGAAGATCTCTCTAGAAGTCAATTAATGAAATTGAAGTTGACACATTTGCTATTATGATCCGTATCTTCTCTTCTCGAAATATAAATAATAGTACAAATTTCCAGGAAATATTCCCTATACATAACAATTTTCATTGTAATCTGAAATTTTCATTCCATTTCGTCAAGGACATTGAATTGATTTGATCACATCAAGCACCAGTGTATCTCCTTGCAGTCTTGGGAGAGCGTTTGTCTGTCATTCTATTCGTCTTATATTTGACACCTCTTTATCAATCGAGACGATTCTCAAAGTTACTGTGTGGTGAAAAATGGTTCACTCGAGTTTTTGAAATGGTGAACCTAAACTTTAATTTTATTGAGTTTCAATTGGCCTAAAGACATCTCCCTGTAGAACTTACAATGATGAAACTCTGTATCTATGTATTTCTCGAGGCGTTCCTTCATTGAATCATCGCCTAACCTGTTATATCAACTCCTTAGATTTTATTACAGGGTGAATCGTAGAAGCGAGAATTTTGAAATATACCATTGAAGAACTAACACCCTATGTGAGATTTTGCGTTCAAATTCTGTATGGAAGTATTTTTGTCACTGTTTCGAAAAAAATTGCCTTATAGTAATAGTCGTTTTTGAAATCTAAACCCTTCAACAAACGAAAGTAAGCCCAGGAGGCCTGGAAAATCTACAAATTCTGAATTTGTCCATATTTTCGAATGAGCTCGTTGAGTACTATATTATGGAATTTTCTTTCATGAAAATCGGTCGACGGGTTCCAAATTAGGAGGGTGAGCGGGTTGAAATCGCATACAATGTATACGGGTGGCTACGGAAGTATTGCCTACGGAATATCACAGTTATTGTATGATGTAGGTTCGTGAAATTTGGAGCGTCGATATAATGACACAAGAGCTAGAATTTGAGCATATTGACATGTCGAAGTTAACTTCCGGTCTGACCGGAAATAACATCAACTTTCTTATTTTAAATGGAAACCCTATTTTTTTTCTTCTCGCTTCATTCAGCATTCAATCCCCTTTCTAATGACCTATCACAAGTTGGTATCTAACCTGTTTTGTTATTTGAAGAATAATAATTGGATTTTTTGGTATTTCATTTCAAAAAATTACTCACTATTATATCATTAGAAAGGAATGGTTATGCTGAATAGTACAGGCAAGAAAAAGTTGTATGTTCCTATTCAAGTTATGGACCTACAGAGTATTGTTTTTTTCCCAATTTTTCCAATCTATTTTTTGACGGCTTTTCATAACGCCGACGAATGAAAATAAAATATCACAGTAGTAGCAACTGTTATCAAGTGACGTATGGTTTCCATAGCCAACTTTTCAATTTTTGGCTTTCATTTTGCTTCCACGGCCTACTCGGTGAATTTCAATAATAATTTTTTTCTAATCTAGTTTCTGGTTAGATACCAACTTGTGATATGTCATTAGAAAGGGAATTGAATGCTGAATAAAGCGAAAACAAAAAAAAATAGGGTTTCCATTTAAAATAAGAAAGTTGATGTTACTTCCGGTCAGACCGGAAGTTAACTTCGACATGTCAATGTGCTCAAATTCTAGCTCTTATGTCATTATATCGACGCTCCAAATTTCACAAACCTACTTCATACAATAACTGAGATATTCCGTAGGCAATACTTCCGTAGCCACCCGGTATATATGGTGTATTGTGCACCTTCACCAAAACTTCAAATTATTTAAGGTGCCTCTAGAAATGGTCATACGCATATCGTTCACCAAAATTTCAAATTATACAGTGTTTTAAAAAGTCTGTACAAAACGCTATTTTGCAAAATACAGGGTTTCATCAAGTTTTAACTGAAATTTGTGATAACGAAATCTCTGAAAATGGAAGTCAGATCATGAAGATTGAAGTTTCAGCACTGGCAAGGGTGTACTGTGTTGATGTCCCAAATGGTATACTGAAAAGAGCACCACTGGATTGAACACCATTTTAGAGCCGTACCGCAATCCTTGATTATATACACTAGTGTGAATACTCGAAGCCGCAATATACATAACATGAAATGTGGTGTACTGCGTACTTTCTTCGCCATTACTTCAAACTATACATGGTGTCTATAATTTGAATGGTCAGTAGAAAAGATGTATAGAATATGGTGTATACGCACATCCTTCACCAAAGTTTCCAATTATACAGAGTGTTTCAAAATATCTGTACATAATGTTATTTTCCAGAATATAAGGTTTCATCAGGGTTTTACTAAAATTCGTGATGATGAAATCTCGACAAATAGAAGTCAGATCATGAAAATTGAAGTATCAGCATTGGCAAAAGTGTACTGAATGATTTGAAAATGTCCCAAATGGTACACTCAAAAGAACACCACTGGACTGAAAACCAGCAACAAGCAGTCTATATAAATGAGACATGTACTGATATTCAGACTATTTCACATGGTGTACCTCAGGGATCCGTCCTTGGCCCGTCACTCTTCATCATTTACGTGAACGACCTCTTTCACTTTATGTCTCCTCATAAATGTGTTGCATACGCCGACGACACAACCTTAATCAACACTTCTACTCATGCAGAAAGTCTCTTAATCACCATGGCCGATTCCTTGGATAGGGCACAAAACTGGTTTAATGCAAACAACCTCAAATTAAATAATGACAAAACCCAAGAACTGGTCTTTGCTAATAGAATTGCGGGCAGGGAAGAGAGTGTCATGCTTCTAGGAATAGTTATCGATGGAAAACTATCATGGTCATCCCATATTGAGCAGTTATGTCAGAAATTATCCACTTCAATATTTCTGTTGCGCAACATGAAAAATCAACTCTGCGAAAGTACTGTGCGATCCTGTTACTTTTCTTTCTTTCATACACATATAAATTATGGCATACTGTTATGGGGAAACTCTGTTCATTCGTGTAAAGTTCTCAAGATACAAAAGAGAGCGATAAGAATTATTGCCGGTGCAGGTTACAGGGATCCATGTCAACAAATTTTCAAACAACTCTCTATTATGCCTGTCCCTTCCCTATTTATCTACTCTACTCTTCTGGAAATTCACAAGAATAAAAGAACTTTGTGTGCCAACTCCGATTTTCATGAGTACCAAATCCCGAATGAATTCATTGAATATCGGAATCTATAATTTCCTGCCTCAAGAGTTCAAGATTCTCAATTATAACTGCTTCAAATTGAAACTGAAAAGACACATGCTGTCCCATTGTTTTTACTCTATTGATGAATATCTGAAAACACCTCCACTTCTCGATAATTTGTGTTGATTCCATTTCGAAAACAACAAAATTTATATTTTAGATTTGTTAGATTCGTGAGAATGTTGTATGTATGTTTGTGATAGCTTAGGTGTATATTTTATTTTATTCTGTAATTGTTTTTGAGAAACATTTTGTACTTCCAGTGACTTGCCAAAAACATAAGAATTGTAACTTGGTCAAATAAAATTCTATTCTATTCTATTCATTTTAGAGCCTTACCGCAAGTCTGACGTCGGGACATGATCCAGTCGGCCCAGAACATTGTGACTTGTCTGCGAGGAAATAGTCTTCAGCGTAACCTTTGAGTGTCTTTTTATCCACCCATGCAACCACCACATCTCCTCCAATCATGACGCTGTTGGTTTCTTCACCAGAAGGTCCGAAAGACATGTATTCACCATCATCTGAAAGAATACTTTTCTTGTTAATATTTTGCTGAAAGAGAAACATGTTTATTTTGTGAAAATCCCACAGCCAATTGAATGCAATAACAAATCGATTGGTGTTATCTTGAGTGGGGAATGGGGCCACGGTTGTGCACAATAGTCAAATTTACACGTATATACAGGATGGATGGATGGAAATATAGAGAATCCAACCGAAATATGTTCGTTATTGTGAACCTTCTGGTTTATCCGGAAGTGATGTCATCTTCGTTATGTACACCCTATATTCCACAACAATTTTGAATTTCTCGTTTGTTATGATTCAAATTCATGTATCATACTGCTTCTGAGTTATTCGATTTTTTCTAGAAAAAGTGACAGATGCAACCTATTCAACATATATCATTTCCATGTGAATCACAATTCTAAGTGATTTACAGTGATTGAATCGTGAATA